CTTTCAGTTCTATACGAGTTCCCATACAATGGTGGGTCATAACCTGACATTTCGTGGGGTCGTGACCCCAGTTAAACCCCAAATGGATGGAGGGCGTTTGCCGGACGTGGGTTCATAGATTTCGATAGGGTTTGCAGAGGTTGAACAGTGTTATGAGGACAAATTGACACGAAGCTTTGATTGCAGTATCTTGTCGGCGAGGGTACAGGTGGCGAAGTGTTTTCCGAGTGCAGAGATCAAGCCCCGAAAAGTTTGTTTTGGTGCGTGGATTTTGGCTAGGAAACCCAGTAACCTAAGAATAAAAAGGCCTCTCTTTTTGGTATTGGGTAATTTTATAAGGAACCTAGGACTACAAAAAGGGAATAAGGGTACTACTGGGCATCCTAGTTGGGCTCCATGTACGAGTCCACAGGATCTCATTGCATCTCATGGCTGGGTCCTTGGGTTTGGGATGGTAGCACACGCAAGTTCACAGGTAGATAAGGCAGGTTTCCCATTAAACATTGCGGAACCGCCAAACCCAAGCCCCTAAACCCTCAAAAAAAGGGCCTTAATAATTAGAGGGCCAATCATATGTACTATAATTCTAACAAGGAGCCCTCAAGATAGTATAGGTAGTTATCTCGGCCCCTCAACCCTTTATTCCTGGATAAACACGAAGCCCAAAACCTAGCCCTCCCAAACCCCTCTCCGAACCTCTTAAAACAGGTGTCGGAACAAGAAAAGGAAGGCTTTGGTGTATGAATGGTTTAATAAGATCAGTATATGTATGTGCATGTATGTGTATGTATATATATATATATATGTAAATATATACATATATATATATATGCTATATATATATATATATATATATAATACCACTTCAAGTAATGCTTCAGCGCATGATGTTACAGTAGCAAGTATATCAGGACCATAAAGGGATGCTACCCCTATCTATTTCCACCCGTGAACCCCTGCCTGTGGTGTTCGCGCTTAGGATCATGGTAACTTACTACAGGGGCCTCCATAATTGCCTATACTACAGCCTATACTATTTTGGGGGCTCCTTATTACAGCATATCCCAAAACCCCATTCGAATTATAGAGGCCGGTGACCGGCTGGCGGTTACAGTGGCTCAGTGTCTTCGGGCGCTTGGTGCCTTCCTTAACCCTGCTTTCGGGCTCCTTCTTGTAGTTTCTGGGCAAGTGCGGATAAGAAGCTAGGCTTTTGGTGGTTCAGGTATTCCCTAAACCTTTAGCCACAAGCTTTTCAAGTCACATCGAGGGTTCGCTGTCACTGGCGAATTACATGCCAAGGTCTGCGCGAGCGCAGATGAGGGTTGATCCGAAGAGTTTTGCTACAGCGGCTGTATATGTTCTATTTCGGTTCGATGAATTTTCTTCAAGTTTTATGTGGGTTCTATCCAACGTTGATGTGGCCAGGTAGGCTTTATGAGTCTCATTCATTTGGGTTTAAGTTGTTCTATTTCATGGTGTCTGTACAAGTTTTGCGAGTTGTATTCGATGTTATACTAAGGGTTTCGTAGCGACTCATAAAGTTTCATAGTGGCTGGGACGTTCAAGCTTATGGCTCTGTAGGGGGTTCTCTGCCGTCTTATACTGGCTTCAACCGCATTTCGATGGATGGGGTCGCAGCGAGTTTGGACGGCGACTTAGCTTGGATATAAATCTCATAGCACTGCCGAGATGGGGTCTCGTACAGGTGCTATAGGGACGGTTCACAAGTTCAGGCTGTAGGGTTCAGGGTCCATGATGTTTTGGTGGAAGGGGGTGCTCTAGGGATTTATGAGGCTTATGAGGCTGTGATACTCCTCTTCAAGATCACCCCTCAGGGAAGCATTTCATAAACCAAGGCCGCGCGATCCTCGAAAGGCTAACTCCAGCTTCGACAGAATTGAAGCTCACAGGGCTGTAGCGGCTTGACGAGCTAGTGAAGTCATCAGCTTTAGACGTGAAACTGGAATCCTAATACTGTAAGCCATGAGCCTCAAGCCCCTAAAGCTCTAACCCCAAAGTCTAGAGCCGAAAACCTAGGCCCTGAAGCCTAACAACCAACATCTTAAACCCTAAAGCCAAACAGTATTGACATGAAGGGCCGAAGAATTTGGGGTTTGGCTTGAGCATGCGAGAACTGAAGCTTCACAAATCTTCTTCCCAATGCATCCGATTCAGATCTGGAGTCCCAGGTATCTCCACGACTTAGACAGAGGCTTGCCCGGTCCGTGCATGAATTTCTTTCGACAAAAAACTAGTCGCGAATGCATCCGTCAGTAAAAACTCAAGAGCGCGTCTATGTCCAGCTCACGCCCAGCCAGCTACCCGTATCTTGTACTCCTCAACTCTGAAGCCCCCGCCCAACGCAAAACCTGAAAAGCAACGCAAGATCGCTGCAACTCGGGACAAACGCCTACTGCTACAACGACTACCAGAAGTACTACTACAAACAGCGGCATTACTAATCCCAACGGATCCGGAGACTTCACACACGAGTACAAACCATAATGCCGACAAACGAGACAACTCCGCATTGTCCTTATAGCGATAGTACATGAAAGAACGACATCGATAATGAGCAGAAGTAGAAACCGCCAACAATAAGCAACACTGCACAAGAATAACAAATGGTCCCTCTGCTTTAGACTCGAAAGACTCAAGCCCAAAGATCTTAACGATGGCAAACCCAAAACCCGCACCCTGAACCCTAAACCACAGCCCTAGACCCTAAACCCCCAAACCCCTGAAGCTAACCTATGCCAATGCTGCTCCAGCAGTGTAACCACACCCTCGAATAGCACTAGACGGCCGGGTGTGAGACTCAGCTAAGTGTACACCAATCCCAGAGAGCTCGGCATAGCATAGCACAGCAGCGTAGGGTGTTGAGTTTGGGGCTTCGCATCAGGATAGGTGCCGGAACGGAAATGGCAAGCGCTGCTGTTCCCTACTTGTATAAGTCCCTGTATAGCCATATTACACTGTACCCAAAAAATCCTATTTTAATCCCGGATGCCCCTACTGTAAGGTTTTGGTGTTCCAGGGTCTGAGAAGTGTGCTTCTTCCGACAGGGTTGGCGGCCCAGGGACTCAGAAACCAGGATATACATAGAGTTATAAGTACCCTAACTGCAGCTACCCCAATTATGACCCTAAACTATAAGTACCCTAAATGCAGTTACCCCAATTACGACCCTAAACCCTTAACCCATAAGCGACTTACTAAGTGTACGGGGCCTCCCAGCATAGGCGCCTTTAAGTCAGAAGATCAAGCTCTTTTGCTTGGGGGTGATGATTCAGCGTTCGGGATTTAGGGTTTAGGGAATTTAGGGCTTGGGGTATAGGATGTGGGGTTGAGAGTTGAGAGTTCAGTAACTGAAACCTGCCTAAAGGTTGAACGCCCTCAACAAACGCATCAAATACTTGACCGTGCTCCCTTCTTGGTAATCCCTGTGGATCCATCTAGCTTGTTCCTAAAGGCCCCAACAATCGAATGACCTGCTATGCTGAAGGTCACAGGCATCAGACTCTCTGGGAAGACGGCTGCTGCCTAGTTGAGGCAGCTCGATGGCGCATTTCGTCCTCGGGTGTCGCTGGACAGTTTTAGGCTCTGCGATTTCCGGTGCATCGCGTCTACGGGTTTTTTAGTTGCGGATTGACGGTTTAGGGTGTAAGTATAAAAAGACTAAAGGCCAGGCTTCCAAATTCTAAAGGATGCTCGGATTCCGGGTTTAAGGATTTGGCCTGCGGGGCTGTGCGATTAGTTAGGGTTAAAGGAGACGACTGGGGTAAGCCACAACCTAAGCACTCAACCCTAGGCCCTTAGGCGGGGTTGCTTCGCATTTAGGAATGCTGCCTAAATCCTGAACCCCCAAAACAACTTCAACCCTCGGCTGTAGGGGTTCCCGGAAGCCGTATTCGTCAGGTTAGGATTCAGTGTGGAACCTGGTGATACTGTCCTTCCTGCAGAAGGGCTCTAAAGTGAAGTAGGAATGCTCTACCTCATAGAACGGGCATTAAGAAAAAGAAGAGGCTTCATTAAGCCGAATTCTGTAATCCTTTGCTTCTACTGCTGTCAAGCCTCACCTCTCGGAGTATTCCTGTTCCTGCGGAATGACCACCTTGCCGATCTAGACTATGGTTGTATTGCTTGGCCTTGCTGGAGCTCAGGATGCGGGATTTTTCACATCCATCGACACAATAGGTAATACTAAAAACGACATATAATACCCTAAATCGTAGGATCCTTGTTATAAGGGCCCCCACAACAAGGTACCCCTTCTATCATCCTCAACCCTAAACCCTAAACCAGGCCCGAGGACCCCAAAGTTTACATCGCTGGGGCTTTGGCCTCACTGTAAGATCTCTTCCCCTGCCTAAACCCTAAGACCCTGAAATCCTAAACCCTAAAACCCTAAACCCACTGGGGTTTCCACTACTGTATTACGAACCCAGAACCCTTCAAAGAGTTTTGGGTTTGGGGTTTAGGGCCGTAAAGGAACACACCCTAAGAAGCTCCAAACCCGAAACCCTAAGACCCCAAACCCTCCGAGGAAGACCCCTACCTACTTGTCGGGTGGGAACTAAAGGTTAACCTTAGGGGTTCTATAGGGACTGTACTACACACAAAGGTTAAAGCTCACCTACTTTACTACTAGGTTACTACGGCCCCTACATTAGCATCCTTATAACAGCCCTTATAGACCCCTTTAAAAGGAACCCTTAACGGAACCCTAGTCGAATTACTAAGTCCTTGTAATAGCCCTTATAGGCACCTTTAAAAGGAACCCTATTCCACTTGCTACCCAGAGAGCCCAATACCCCTTAATTAAGGAATATAGCTTAAATCATAATATGAAGCCCTATATAATTTAAGCCATATTCCTTAATTAAGGGGTATTAGAACCCCTTAACCCTAGACCCTATAGATCCCTTATAGATCCCTTAAAGGAACCCTATTCTAATTACTACCAGGCCTGCGTTTCCGATCCTGGGAGGCGAGCATCGTCATGCCACCGAGGCAAATGCCCGACGAAGCCCGCAGATGAACCTTTTGGGCTTTTGGGGTTTAGGGTTTGTGGGCTTTAGGGTTTGGGGGTTTACGGGTTTAAGGTTTTGGGGTTTGGGGGTTTAGGGGTTTAGGGTTCTTCAAGTTTGCGTTGTTTAGGGTTGTGCAAGGCTGTTGAGAGCTTATGTCTTCAGGGTTTAGAGGTCTTTCCTTTGCTTCCTGGCGTGTCGTGGGTTGTTTATATGGGAGTTTCCGAAAATAGGGGACCCGAATATAGTACCCTAAATAGTAGGATCCTTATTATAAGGACCCCAAAACAAGGTACCCCTAGTTTTCGGAAACTCCCATATGGGGTTGCTGGTAGGCATTCGGCCCCCAGGCTTCTGGGTCGGGGAGACCAGGCCCCGGTCTCAAACTTTCAAGGATCCTGTAAAGGGTGGGTACTATAAGCCTTTAAGGGATCTATAAGGGTTACTGTGTGTCAGGGTACCATTGGGGGCTTAGGGGTTTGGGTGTTTAGGGTCTACAGTAGAAGCCAGAAAGTTGGAATATCATTATCGTAACCCGTTTTAAGGTAAATTATAAGGTATCCTACCATTAACCCATATTCCAACTTTCTGGAGTTCCCTTTAAGGGTTTACGAGCTTTTGAGCTTCGGGCTCCGGGTGTGCATTCCTGTGGGGGTCGGAGAGCTGCAAAGCAGCTGAGGGTTTGGAGGTTTCGGGAAGCTCCTCCTGAACTCCGGCTGGAAGTAGTAAGAGCGCCTGTGTTCGAGGTTGATTTCGTGGCCTCTGGTGGTTAAGGTTGAAGTCCGGAGGCTTTGATTTTTAGTTCAGGCAATCCCTGAAATCTAATTCTAAACCCGAAACCCCATACCCTGAACCCTAAACCCTCAAGGACCCTCCCCATCGTCGGCCAGTTCCACAAAAACCCATCCTGCTGGGGTGTGCTTGTGGCAGCGTCCTTGCGATCCTGAACCCTCTGTGTCTACTTCTGCATGTATATCAGGAGGAGTGGCCGACTGTGTTGGTTGCGCACTATTTTGGGGGTTCCTCATTGTAATGATAGTATAATGGGCCCCAAACCCCAAATCTAATTGATTAAGGCTCCTAGATAAGTGTTTTCTGGAAGCTCTAGCAAAATCGTTGCTGGCGGAGTAGTCTCTGGTGGGAGGTCCGGTGTTCTTCGGGAGTTAAGCACGTAGCTTTACTCTACAGTCTGCTACCAAAAGATAGTGGAAATCCAGTATCATGATGTGCTCTGACATTAAGGACTGTGGAAGCGACCCTTCTTCTAGTGACCGATTTATCGTTGATTAAGGCCTCAATAATCAGAATAGAATTTTGGGGCCCGTTGCACTTTAATTACAATAAAGGAAACCCAAAAAATGGTATTGGTAATTATTTGGGCCCCCATGTTAATGTTGCTGGCTATGGCTAGCCTTGCGCCCTCCTCTACTGGGAAGCATTGCATTTTATCGTAGATCGTACCCTACACTACATGGCTTGTTATCGCGTTATTCCTTACGGTTGCCCAAATTTGAGATGCTCTTAGCCACACTCTTGCGGATTTCGAGGGCTGCTATTGCAAGGTCCCCTTCCGAGGCCACCACAGAGGAATCGCCGCAGCGTTGGGCGATGCCTGCTAGCAGCTAGCACTCTCCGGCGGAGGGCGCAGCTCTCAACCCCTCACTTGGATGCAACTTCAACCGCCCAAACCTGGGTTTAGCTTTCTTCTGAGCTACGATGAATGCACTTGTTTCATGGTTAAGATTGGGTACTGCCCCCCATACAGCAACAGTCTATAATAGGGCCACTATGTAAGGTCCTAATATCTATATTATGAATATGATTCAACTGTTACTAAGCGGGGCCAGTACCTAAGGTTAAGAGATGGGAAGCGGCAGAACACAAGCAGCTCACTGCGGCTTTCTGCAGCCCCGAAAGCCGAGAACCTCTACAACCCCATTCAACCAGAGATCCCAATACCCCTAAGTTAAGGAATATACTTTAAACCAGAACATTAAGGCCCCTCTAATTTAAGGTATATTCCTTGATTAATGAAGGGGTATTGGGATCTCTGAGCAACTGACGCCCAGCTGCCCTAAACTCTGGCATAGCCCCAATCCCCAAGTCCCGATCCTTGAATTAAGTGAGCCTAGCTTGGGGCGTGGGTTACCACCTCACATTCTTGACCGTGTTATTCCAGTACGGTATCTTGGAACAAGCTCGTTGACGAGACGACTACAAAATCCTGAAGAAAACCCACGCTCCAGAACTCAGACCCAAAACCCTAAACCCTACCAGAGACCCCGTATGGAAAAACCCAGTTTTTGGGGGCGCAGCCTCGTTGAGCCGTTCGAGCAGTTCCGGGAGCTCGGGAGCCTCCACCAGCAGGTTTCGGGTTTGGGGTTTAGGGTTTTGGAGGTTTAGGGGTTTAGGGTTTAGGGTTTAGGGTTTAGGGGTTTAGGGTTTGAGGTTCAGGGTTTTGGGCTTGGGGCGTTTGGCACTGCGGGTTTTCTGGGCTGGAGGTGGGTTCCTTTAGAGCACACAGAAAAAACTGAGTCTTTAGATCCTGTAACTAAAGGTCCAGGATGTAAGTCGGGGGTTCCCTTTACACCTCCTGCAAGGGTTGCTCTATCGGATCCTTTTCCGTCTCAAAAAGTGCGTCGGTTTCGGCTCTCGGGGTTTGGGGCATTGAAGTTTCGGGACTGCTTGGGAAGAGCGCTTGGGTTTTTGGGCACTGGGGGAGCCTTTGGGTTCTGGGGAGCCTTTGGGTTCGTGGCTTTTGGGGCGTTTTGATGCTTCTGGGGCTCAGGGTCCTTTGGGTTCAAGACCTCTTCGGATTCCACCGAGCGACTGCTTTACAGAGGGGCACATGATGCTTTGGAGTATCAGGGGTAAGGCATGGTTGTATGTTTCTTCGTGCCGGTTTCGGCCAGGATGTTGTATGTGCATCGAATCTCATCACGTTTCAGATAAGGCTGATAATTCGGAGCATGGAGAACGAGATTTCTTGTACAAGAACTTGGCCTTCTGTAAACAGTACTTTTATAAAGGGAATACCCGGGCTTCCAGCAGACACCGGCTCCAGGCAACGATGCTGTCTCGCGAGAAGCATTGGACTGCCAAACGTGGAACACCATTACCTTAATGCAGGGTTTAAGGTTCAGGGCTTGGCGAAAGCCTGCGCAATCACAACCCACGCAAGCCCCCAAATCGATATCTAGTTCGAAGCCGCAAACTGCGAACCCACCACCTACATGCCTAAACCCTATTAACCACAAAACATTAAAACCCTTATAGATCTAAAGCACACACTGAACAGCCGCTCTAGCCTGAAACCGACACCCTAAGCCCTAAGCCACAAAACCCGATTCCTGAAACCCCTTACAGCAGTGAGGAACCCCTGTAGGTGCCACTATAGGTCACCCTTTAAGGGCCCATGTAGATCCCCTGTAGATCATCCGTATAAACGCCGGCTCTTTAATGCTCCGGCTCTTAAAACTCCACACCCGGTTCTCCGCCTGCGGGGAGCACTCGGAAGCGACATAGCCCTAGGCTCAATCAGGGTGCAGGGCACTTTAAGGGTCTGTTTGAAAGCACCTTTAAGGAGGGTTCCAGGGTTCCTCTGATACTGTTAGCTTAGGGCGTGTACGATTTCAAGCTGCGGTGTTTCTGGAGTTCACCGTCGAAGGAAAAACTTGAGCCTTATTCCGGGCTCACTAAACTCATGAGATCGAAAACTTAAGGAGCTTGTTCGGGTCTGTGGGCACTATACTTTGCCCCATAATCCTACGGTTGATGATATAAATCCTGCAGTACCCATGATAAGCATTGTTTCCCCAATTCCCATAGTCTAGCGTCATTAACTTTTAAGGCAATCCAGGATTTATATCATCAGCCCTATTAGTTACTGAAACACAACAGCCCCGGCCTCCTTGCCAAGGCCCAGGACCACAGAGAACTCTCGGCTCGGATCGTCCTGCGAGCACCAAGAGACTCCCGGGTTTTGTTTTTAAGCGCCTCTTTTCCAACTCGCAATCCGCTCGTCAGAAATCCCTCGGTTTAGGGCTTAGGGTTTAGGGTTTCAGGCTTGGGGTTTAGGGTTTCGGGTTTAGGGTTTAGGTTTAGGGCTTGTATAGAGGTTGGTGATTAAGGCTCAAGTTATTCGGGCACAGTAGACCACAGGGTATGCATTTAATTCCATGTTCCCTTACTTTCATAGGTTCCTTGCTTCATCTAGGACGTAAATGCCTAAAGGAGCACGGAAAACGCCTGCGTAAACAATGCAAGCACCAACCATCAATTCAAACCAGGGACCCTAAAGCGCTCGGCTAGACTTGTGGGTTTGGGGTTTCGGGTTTCTCAGCTCCGAAGCTCATAGGGATCCTTATGGGTGTAGGGGGAGGGGGGGTAGGGGGCCTTAAGGCCCATAATAAGGACTAATAAGGCCTATTTAAGGAAATATAGTCCCCTACACCCCTCCCCCCTACACCCCTAAGGATCCCTATGAGAAGCATTTTGCAATGGCTAACGAGAACAGAAGCACCTGGTCGATCAGCGTGAACACAAGGCGGACCTGGGTCGAGGCTGCTACGTGCCCGGAATGCCCAATTCCCTCCATGAATACTCTTCACAAACACTAAACTCATAAACCCTAAACTCTAAACCCTAAACTCTAAACCCTAAACTCATAAAGTCTAAACCCTAAACTCTAAACCCTAAACTCATAAACCCTAAACTCTAAACCCTAAACCCGAAAAGGCATGAGGGCTCCCTAATATGGCCAGAGGGGTGTGCGTCTTGATTGGAAGCCTGGGTCGAGGGCTTCAGCATGCTTCGATGGTTACATGGAAGCTTCTTGTAGGGTTTAGGGGTTTAGGGTTTTTCAGGTTCAGGGTTTCGGGTTTCGGGTCTAGGGTTCAGGGTTTAGGGTTTAAGGTTTAGAGCAGGGGACTTGCCAACTAGGCAGGGCTCGCGGCACCTGCGATAGAACAACCCCTGGAGCGACATATGAATCTCAGCTATGGCCTTTCAACTTTCTACATCCCTGGGTGATATGCATACATGTATACATTCATGCATCCATACATATATATATATATTACGTACGTACATGCATGTCAGTTTTTAGTGCGTATATACGTGCACATGGGGACAAAGTTGATGTTTGTTGTTTGAAGCAGATAGTTGACGATCTGCCCATGAGTCCTACTATCTTCAATGTGTACCTCTGCAGTTTTGCGTTAAGTGGTGGTACACAACTTCTGACCGTACTTACGACCTGCATATCATGCGCCTTGGGCCGACAAGTAGATTGCAAGGCCCTGTCGAAGCTCAATAGAAAGAAACCTACAAAGCCCCCAAAAGCCAATGAAAAGTTCCGATAACCCGATATGGGTGATAACATCTGCTAGCTAATCAGATTTCCGTAGCAAACCCTCGACCCCGAAACCCTAAACCTTAAACCCCACGAGCAGTCTTGGATCCAATGACTCCAAGCCCTCGAAGCTAAACAGGTACCATACCTGGCTGGAAGAGTTGAGGAAAGACACTAGACCACCCATCCAAAGTCCCACATACTTTCTAGCTTCTACCGAGGCTGCAAGACGGTAGAGCAAGATCGATAACCGCAACTGTGACAGACGTTCACAGACCATGCTCAGTCGTGCCTTACGTGCGTTGAAGACTAGCGTGAATGCCAGCCATGACCCGGATACGTCAAAACCGACATCAAGCCCAAAACAGTGAACCCGAAAACCTAAACCCTGAACCTGAAGCCCTAGAACCTCAAACCTCAACCCCCTAAAAACGTAAAAACCGAAAAAGCCTAAACCTTAAACCCCAAACTACTAACCTTATCAAGCCGACAGGTTCTCAGTCCGTGAAGCCGAAACTTCTTGCGCCCAAGAGGCTGTCTGGGTCGTGACCCGCACGATGTCTAAGCCAAGGCACCTGCTGTACCTGGGCTCTGTAACCGGTCGTAAGGTTTGAAATTTAAGGAATCTTTTTTTTTGGGGGGGTTTAGGATTTAGGGTTTAGGGTTTAGGGAAGTTTAGGGTTTAAGGAAGTTTAGGGCTTAGGGTTTGGGGAAGACTGCGCTTTGACGGAGAGTGGCGTGCAGCTCAACTTCCGTGTCTATGAGGGTTTGGAGGTAGCCAGGCGTGAGCCTGCAGAGGAAAGCTCCCGGAGCCCCTGTTCCCGCTCTGTAGCGGTGGAGCTGCTCTCGTTGATGTCGACCGATAACGAGGCCGATCTCTGGTGGGAATGGCTACAAGCCACCGCCATGATGAGAAGATGGGCCAACGCTGTATCTGCTCAAGCGAGCAGGGACCTGTAACATGGGCGGGATTTGTGCTGCTTAGCGACTCTCACCAACGCAGGGTCGCCCCGGAATGCTCCTGAACTGCGGCGCTCTGCCGGAGCTGGAATTCCAAGTCGTCGCGCAGTATGTCATGGCTGGAAATGACATGACGACATGTCGTGGTGTGCTTGGACCTCCCTGGCAGAGGGCGCAAGAACTCCACCGTAAGGTTTCTCTGCGACTTTTGGAAGCATGGGCTGAGTGTTCAGGGGGGCAGTTTAGGGTGTAGCCTGTAAGGTCAAGCCGAGGTAGGAAACCCTCAGGACGTTTAGACCCCGAAATTAAATCCCTGCACCCTAAACCCCAAACCCTAAACCCCACTTCGGGAGCACAGGAGCGGATCATGGGACTCAGTAAGCACGGATATAAGAACCTCAGTTAGCGGCTATAAGAAATTACAGGTGTAGTGAACCGGTTGATAAACTTACATGCCAAGTCCCTACTGTAAAACCTTCTAGATCCCTTACAAGACCTTCAAGGAACCATTACTAGGTCCCATGATGCTTTCAACAAAGGCCGCTCTGAGAAAGCGGCCGCGCAAGGAAATCGCTGATGCCATTCTCCTGCACATGCGCTGCCTCGTCGTGCGGATGCTCCCCGAAAGTACGCCCTTCAAGGGTTTGTGGCTTACATATTTGGCAATTTAGGGTTGGGAGTTTGGGAACCGGAATATTAAGGCCCCGATATTATGGTACCCATATAGATCCCTTATAGCAACCCTTATAGACCCCATTCCTCCATTCCCTAAACCATACCAAGAGATTTAGGCATTTGGGAACCCTAAGTACTCAACCCAAGCCCGACCCTAAGCTTCACGCCCTAAACCCTCACTATAGAAGCTTTAAGAACTAGAATAGATTTTGGTGGATTTCACTGTAGAAGTTTTAAGAATTAGAACAGATTTTGGTGGGGTTGAGTTGAGGATTTTAGGGGTTCTTGGGGTTTAGGGCTAGGGCTTAGGGCGCAGGGCCGACTTGGCAAGGTTGCAAAAGGCCTCATATGACATTTCTCGCTGGATCCTGCGCCCTGAAATTCTCTGCTGAGGGGTGGAAGCTGCAGATCACCTGTAACCCTCGAAGTTTGCTGAGAGTCTTGAGACATTCCGCTAGTTGCGAAAGATTGCCCCTTTGGTGGGCAGGACAAACGACCCTATTCCCGTTCAGATGTCTGTCGTACCCAGAGAGCCCAAGACCCCTTAATTAAGGAATATGGCTTAAATTCTATAGGGCTTCATATTATGATTTAAGCCATACTCCTCAATTAAGGGGTATAATTTAAGCCATAGTCCTCAATAAAGGGGCCCCTTGGGCTCTCTGGGTACAACGAACCCCCCCCTCAAACCGCAAGCCCCAGAAACCCGACAGGACCGGATCATACTCCCCATGTTAGAGACTCCAAGGGGCCCCTGAATTAAGGAATATTCCTTAGGGTTCCTTAAAGGGATCTATAGGGTTCCTTGAAGGGATCTATAGGGTTTAGGGGATTCTAATCTCCCTTGATTAAGGAATATACCTTAAATTAGAGTAGGGTCCTAATATGATTTAAGAGTTCTTCCTTAATGAAAGGGGTATTGGAGTCTCTGGGATGTTACAGCAATCTCTTGCATCCTGGGCCCTTAAACCCTGGGTCCGATCTGCAACGGAATCCCGGAAGCTCAAACTAGGCCGAAACGCTTCATTGTAGAAACTTTCAAACCGAAGTACCTTCATGAAATATGATTTGAGATATTGTAATGCAATCAATCATAATCTCAGTGATTCTTACTTTTAGGCTCTGGTTTTGGACCCAAAGGCGAGTACGTCACCTTAGTCCGAAGCACCCTGAACAGGATGCCTAATCTAGAGAACCCCTCTCCATACACCGCCACCTTTATAGAACCCTAAACCCCTAAACCCCTAAACCCTTAAACCCAGACGACTAGTCCTTCGTCCCTGAAGGACCCCCGAGAGGCCTCCTTTTTCTGCGTCAGCTTCTTCTGCTCGTCTCGGAGTTCCTTGAAGCTTGTGGTTTAGGGCTCAGGGTTTCGGCTTTAATTGCTTAGAAGTTTAGGACTTTTGGGGTTTATGGGTTCAGGCTCAGTTGCAACGTTTCGCTCGACAGCCTCAAGTCCGCCAGAACCGCAGAGCCCGAAACGCCAACCCAATGCAGGGTCCTTAAGAATTAGAACTTGATTTTGGTGTAACTTATACAGTAGTTCTTAAACGGATCTCTGTAGGAAACGTGCTGGCTACCCTAAACCCTGTACCCTAAACCCACTTGGAGGGTCGGGGGGCTTAGTAAGTAGGTAGAAGTACCCTAAAAGGGACCCTAATTGGGGTTATGGTACTTCTAAGTCCCTCAAATAACTGCTTACTAAGTCCCCCGACCCTCCAAGTATACCCTAAACCCTATACCCTTATAGAATCCCTATAGATCCCTTTAAAGGGGCCCTTAAGGAACCCTAAACGCAGGCTTCTCTTGAAGTGCTTTCGGGCTCCCGATAGGACTCCGAAGCCCCAAGGTTTCGAGCCACACAGCGCAGTTCAAGCCCAAGCCTCAAAACCAGATATGGGTAGTTTAGGGTTTAGGGTTTAGGGTTTAGGGTTTAAGGTTTAGGGTTTAGGGTTTAGGGTAGTTCTCTAAATTAGTTGGCTTAAAGGTCCCTCTTCATAAGGGTGCCGTACTATTTTGTGCACCTAAGAAGGCAGCCGAATGTAGGGAACTACCCATATGCCAACGGATCCACTCAGCCAAGGAACAAACCTGGATTATATTGATCTTCTGATGGTCCTAATGCACCCGTAGGCCCGTAGAACCAAAACAAGAACATGTTTTGCAGTCTTACTATACCAGATAGCAAGAACTCCCAAGAAGCTTTAAACTTATAAGTGAGTCAGACCTTTTGCTGAATTGAAGGGGGTTTGGGGCTCTCTGGGAACCTCTCTTCCTGCTACCCTGCGAGCCTTCCGATACTCCTCGTGGGCACTCTGCAACAGCTCAGCCGTGCCAGCTATCACCTAGCTCAGGGTCCAGAGTTTCATTTTACACGTGGGCGGTCAGGGTTCTTTTGGGTTTCCAAACTACGGGGAAGTTTGGGGTTCCAACAAGAGAGAGGACCATGATTTTGGCAGTTAGCCATGTAGTTTTAGGGCTTGGGCTTGCGGGCTTGAGGGCTTCGGAGTTCGGGTTTTTTCAGTTTTTAAGTTCAGGTGTCAGGGCATGAGTTTGGGCTTCAAGGGGGGTTATAGGGTTTAGAGTTTTAAGGGTTTTAGGGTTTTAGGGTTTTAGGGTTTAGGGGTTTTAGGGTTTAGGGTTTTAGGGGACTGAGTTTGGGCTTAGGGTCTAGGGTTTAACGTTTGGCTTCTTCACGGCAGGATTTGGAGCTTCACATTTGGGAGCTTCAGGAAATCAAGGACCCCTTTATCCAGGCCCCCAGAGAGTAGGATCATAATCATACTCGAGGTCCCTTCCAAACTTTTTTGCAAGAGAAGCTCCAATTCAGGGATGGGAACGAGAAATAGCAACACCCCCGAATCATATTGCTCGTTGCCAAGAAACCCTATTAAATGCAACGCTGAGGGTCTATGATCGACGGTTGAGGGTTTAGGGTGTACGATTTGGCCCTGAAAAACAAAAAGCTTCAGCTCTCACTCACCAATGACAGCATCTAAAACATTGACTGGCCCAAGACCCTGGAGATTGTGTGCAAGGAGTCCCTGCAACACGCCCGAAAGCACCTGCAACTCTGCACCATTCTGCACCTAAAGAAAGAGCTTTCAAGACAACCTAAGAATGCGCTCAGGCACTTCAGATCCAACAAGGAGCCCCACAGCACCTGAAACAAAGCATTTTTTGGGAACGGCTAAGGGTTTAGGGGCTGAGGGTTTAGCGTAGGGTTAAGGAGGGTTCAAGGTTCAGGGTTTAGGGCTCGTAACAGCACGCTAACCCAACAAAAAGCCCCAAAGCATGTAGTAGGGCCCAACCCCCTTATGCTGAAGCCCAATAAGGTAGGGATATCCCAATAAAATGCTTATGCTTATGTCCTTACCCTTTACCCTGAACCCTACTTGGAGGGTCGGTGGACTTAGTAAGTAGCTATTTTTGGGACTTATAAGTACCATATCCCCAATTAGGGTCCTTTTAGGGTACTTATCAGTCTACTTACTACCTACTTACTAAGTCCCCCGACCCTCCAAGTGACGGTCCCCAGTGTAAACAACACGGCGTCCCCCGACCTCCGCACGGTCGCTGGCGGCCTTCATGGATTGCAACATGACCTGGAGCTCGGGGTCGATAGGACATAGGGTTTAGGAGTTTGGAGTTTAGGGTTTAGGGTTTAGGTTTAGGGTTTAGGGTTTAAGGTTTGGGGCCTGCGTTTTGGGTTTGGGGTCGGGGGTTTAGGGTTTTGGTTTTGGGTTTAGGGTCTGGGGTTTAGGGTTTAAACTCTAATTCTAGGAGCCTGAATCATTACAGGAGGGTTCTAGGACGTGTTATATGATGACCGCGGCGCCTCTCCCAGCTTGGTCCCTTCGCCCCGGAAGCGGCATGCGGCCTCTGACACAGAGGGTGCTTCTTCCTAAACCCTAAACCCTAAACCCTAAGCCCTAAACCCCAGGAAAATGATTTCGGGGCTTGGGAGGAAGGGCGTGTGGAATTCGGCCGCGGCATGCGCACCGTCGCATGAAAAGTTCGCACTTTTTCAAGGCCCAAGTAGGCTGGAAAGCCCCGAAGCCCTGAAAAGCGCGATTCAACTTTGGGGTTTTGAAATTAAGCTTTCTGTGTGTTTGAAGGGCCGTTGTGCGTGAAGCCAGCGCAACTTCGGAGTCCAGAAGTCAGGGTTTAGCCCCTAAGTAAGGGTAGCTGCCAGGAAGGGTACGAGTACATTCCCGGCCCAGATTTTCCTCATATGTACCTGGTATACCGAGCGAAGCTGACAGCAACTCCATCAACAACACAACACACCTCTCAGCAAGTCACATACAGCACAGTGCATTGCCACGGCCGCAAAGCTTTCAGACCAGCAGCACTCACAGGTGGCTCGCCCTTTCAGCCAAAACCCTCAAGCGCAAAGCATAAATCCCCAGAACCCACCCCCCTCCTAAAAAAAGAAGAACAATAATAATACCTGACATAAAAATGATGATAATGAGAATGGCAATCATGAGAATGGTGCTGATGAAAAACACAACAAGCAAGCACCCAAAGCAGTAGCTGTGGAGCAGAAAGATATGAAGCCGACCTCCGTCAACTCCTCCACGGCCACGAGGTCCGCCTTTGGTTGGAAATTAGGGTTTAGGTGACTTCTGGAGATACTGCGACTTGAGGATATCAGTGGATCTTTACAGTTTAGGGCTTCAGGTTTAGGGTTCAAGATCTCAGGACTTGGGATTAGTGAAATCATGAAGCTCTTTGCCTAGCACAAGAGCCAAGACCCTCAACCATACGAAACAGCGGGACCTAAGTCCCAAAACTTCTGGCCCCTACGAACTGGCATATAAAAAGGACCATACGGGGATATGATTTATGAATCAGTCCGATTCGGACCCCTACAGTCGCGCCACGTTTTCGGGGCCTGGACGAAACGACTAAGTCGATTCGAGATTAGGTGCAGCCTCGGTCCAACGGTTGATGATATAAATCCTGCATTACCCAAAATAAGGAATATACCATAATTCCCATGGTTTAGGGTCCTTAAGGTCATGCAGGATTTATATCATCAACCGAAGGAACCCAAGCAACAATCGCTGAACCCTGCACCAGAAAGCTCAGAAGCCTGCACCCCTCCGATTCTTACGGATCGGGGTCTGATGTAGGGGCCTTGACAATCAGAATAGGGTTTTGGTGGTATGTTACACTCTGTTTATGTTGAGGAACCCCCGAAACAGTATAGGTAATTTGTTTAGGGCCCTATAGCAGAGCTCGGAATCTAAACCCGGCACCTGCAGATCGTACAGAACGTCTTCCTCCCGGAGGATGTCCTTCGCGGTCATCGTCGGGGTTCAGGCTTAGCTGCGGGATCAGGGTTCGGCCAGCGTTGTTCAGCCCTGCTGGGGCTTAAGGTGCTTCGCCGACGGCGGGGTGGGGGGTTTGCAGGTTCAATCTCAACCAAGTTCTTCTGGCTCTTGGAATCCTCGCTCACTGCACCCTTATACTACTTCACTTCGGCTTTAAGAGCCCCACTCGCCCAAGAGAAGGTACCAAGATCCAGGGCTGGGTCCGGCTCCCCGTCAAAGCGTCAGTTCAGGAAATCGGAAATCTCAACAGAGACCCAGACATGGGAGATTCCGAAACTTGGGCGCAACTTCTTTTGGGGTCCTTGTAATAATAAGGATCCTACTATTTTAGGGTACTATTTTAAGGTCCCCTCGTTTCGGAAACTCCCACATAGCTCATCCCCTTTAAGGGTAAGGGCTTAGATCCTTTCACACCCTAAACCCTAAACCCAAAAACTACGGATCGACTCGGATATAGCTCGGCCCTACAAGGGAAGCGCCAATTTCACTCTGAAGATCCCCAGTCTGATCTGAAGCCGACACAACCTGCAAAAGCCTTTTTACATACCCCAGCAAACCCTTTGCCCACAGCCACCCAGGCTCCCCTCCCCCCGACCCAAAAAATAACTAGTAGTCTAAAACCCGTGAAAAGATATCCAAGCTTAGGGCTTTAGGGTCTACCGGCTAAAGCCCAAACTTTAGGATTGCCAATGATTTCTGAACCCTAAGCCCTTAAACCAAAACCCTAGACCCTAAACCCATAAGAAGGGCTATATTATAATACTATAGTAACCCCAAAACCCCTAAACCCATAAGAAAGGCTTTTAAGACTTGTTCGTGGCTTCCGGTGGGTTGTTTTGGCTGCCCGGCCTGCAGCCCTTTCTGGGCCACCACGGAGATGGCAGAGCCTCGCTCCTCTGACTTCTCTTTGCTTTGAAGGAAATTTTAGGACAGCAGGGCTTTGGGTTAGGGGCAGATGGGGTTTAGGGCTGTATCTGGGGTTATAGGTTTTCGGGGTGATGGGTTGGAGTTACGGGCTATGCTATGGGTTTTAAGATTACATTTAGGGTTTTAGGTTTGGGCGCTTATGGGTTTAGGGCTTGCTTTTCTTTGAAGTATCCAAGTTTCTTTCAACTTTGCGCGTGCTTCAACAAGAGGGGTTTCAGAGGGCTTAGGGTTTGAACGGTAATGCAAATTCCTCATTAAGAAACCTTTGGTCCTCATAAGGGTTCTGCATGTTATGGATTCTGATATGGTGGGGCTTAGGACAAGGGTTTCTTAATCCAGTGCCTACATTGCCCTCGATGCTAGTCCCGAAAACTCAAAGCCTTCCTGATGCTGGGGCTTCGCGCCCGGACTACTATAATATACTATAATATACTAAAATATGCTATAACGTGCTAAGGCTGTAATATATTATAGTATACTACAATGTCCTATAAGCCCGCCGCGTCCTTCCGCCAGGAAGCCACTTTCAGCTGCGACATCGCGCAAACCTCTTGGGGCTGCGATCTTCCACATATGCTCAAGTTAACGACTGTAAAGTTTGAGGGTTTAAAGTTTAGGGTAAGGGTTACAAGGATGACGATGATGATGACGACGGCTACCCAGGACTACGCTGTGCAAATGCTGCCCCCGTCAGCATCTTGGTATTGCTGCTCATGCAGGTGCTACTGAGCTGGCAGGCTGTTCCGAATGAGCATCATCTCGATTAGTCGTGCAGTTCGTGCATGCTCACCTGAGCCGGACACATCTCCCCACAAGCAAGCCTTTTGTCATTTTAGTCCCTACACAAACATCTCCCTATACATGGACGAAGCAATCCCTTGAAGAGCCCCTGCAAAGCTCCATGTTTCCCGTTACCCAAACCCTGACTAAACCATACAAGGAACCGTCAATGGCACCCCGAGAGGAACAGTTGAAGGAACTGTTAAAAGAACCCTGAAAGTATCCGAGGCCTCTTCGTGCATGCTTGAGTATACTTAGAGTAACGAACCTTAAGGAGTAGTATCCTAAACCCTAAGAAGCCACAAACCCGCAAAAACCCCAACACCCTTACCCCCCAAACCGTAAAACACCTAAAAGCCCTGAGACCCCTAAAAACACTAACATCCGTAAACACCCTAAAAACCCTAAACACTGACATCAATCATTGAAGCTCCAAAGTTATCAGGGCCTCTTCGAGCTTGTCACTGCAGCCCGGGCCGCAGGGAAGCGGAGAGTCCTCGACCTCCGGAAGGGTCGTTTGGGCTTCGGGTATAGGGGTTTGGGGGTTTAGGGGCTCCCTAAAGTCCTTGTAACACCCCTGCAAAAAGAGATCAAGACTAAAACCTGGAGCTGCAAACCCGAGGCCTAAGCCCTCATAGAACTCTAGAGCACTCGTAATCCACCTGTAAAGCTTACGTCTCCCCGCCACCCAGTAACCGTTGAAGAATATTCCTACTAACCGAGCGATGATGATTACAATAGGGGGTACATTGTACTATTATCATAACAAGGAACCCCCAAAATAGTAGAGGTAATGATTAAGGCCCCTATATTGGCGCCGTTATAGACTGTTACTGCATGGGGGGGCAGTGTCCAATTCGAAGCCTTTCAAGGATGCTTGGAGGATCATGGGACTTGGTAAGGGTTACAAAACTAAGGGAAACTGTAGGTATAATGACGTATAAATTATTGCAGCTCCCCACATAAGGTACTTATTGATAGTCTTACTTCCTAAGCCCCGTGGTCCTCCGTATAGAAACAAACACTTAAGAATCATCCTCGCACCTTGGCCGGCGAGCGGTAGTCGAAGTCAAAAGGCCGCGCCGGGCGGGCAGGAGATGGAGAGCAGGCGACTGCCAGGGTTTAGGCTTAGGGTTTAGGGGTTTAGGGGTTTAAGCGTTTAGGGGTCAGGGTTTAGGGTTCAGGGGTTTGGGGGCTTTAGGGGTCTAGGGTTCCTTTTGGGGTTTATGCGTTTAGGGGTTTGAAAAGGTCTCACGGTTTCGAAGGAAAGTTCCACAAGGGGCTTAAGGTTGGGGGTTCAGGTCGTAACACGAGGGGGTCCCCCAAATACCATAATGGTCCGTACCTATCTGACGAGTGTTTCATACGTTCGAGGCTGCTTTTTTGGGGAGTGGAGGTCCTGGCGCAGGGCTGGAGAAAGGAGGATTGGTACCTAGACAGCAAATGCGTTAGGCTTGAAGGGCTGACTTTATTGAGCTAGATGTCATCATGAGGAGTTAGAGATGCAGGCTTTATCGTTCATACGGGCCGATCCATCACGAAGCCCAGCACCCCAAGCTGCGAAAACGAATACCTTGGCCTTGGTGAGCTCCCAAGCCTTCTTCTTGGGATTCAGAGTGTTTAGGGTTTAGAGCTTAGGCGGCTTAGGGTTTGAGGTACAGGGTTTAGGGCATAGGGTTTTTGTTTTTTGAGTTCCTTTTCTGCGTAGCCCGACAGGTCTGCGCGAGGCCAAAACGGCCAGGACGGCGGGAGCCCTTCGTCCAACCAGGGAAAACAAAGCCATCCGAACCCGTCCGATCCCTCTTGTACTTCAGCACTTCCAAGACGAACCTTCTGACAGCAATTCCTCATCTCAGCCCTGACTATTCTTCAAACTGGTCCGCGGCGTCGGCCGGCAAAGAAGACAACGGCCCCGAGGTTATCCATTCGTCAATCTCAGTCTCGCCCTCCCCCACTGTCGGGGCAACCCCAAGGCCACCCTCCAAGTGATCGGTGACGGCCATGTCGCGCTGAACATCGGTAATGCCCTGACTGTGACCGTGTTTCAAGAGGTCCGGCTGTGGTGGGGAACCATCTTCTGCTGCCCAAGTGCCTTGCTCATGCAGGAGCCTGTGAGATTGAAAGACTTCGAGCGCGGTCTCGCCCAACACCGCGATCACCTGCTGGTCCGTCAGTACTCCACGAGTCCATAGAGCCTGTTAATGAGCATAATCATTCCAACGCCGTCCCTGCATACGCACTGTGGATGTTTGAGACTCCGTGCAAGCTGCGTGTTCACGTAGGGCCCACTCCATCTGCAGCATTTCCAAGACCTGCCTGCCGTACCGCTTCTCGACGTCCATCATGGTAAGCTGGCCCGTGCGCAAGCTCTCTCCCACAGACTGGAACTCCTCAGCAGTGAGGCCGGCCAAGCCTTTCATCATGCTTCCGTCCAGCCCAGAGCCCACAGCTGCAGCGACAAAGGGAACCCTGTGGAGAATGTTGTCGTCACCATGTTGATGTAACAACCCTTGTCAAAAACCCTTGTATCAAAGATGAAACCATTGCAAACTCACCTTGGTCAGCCACGTAGAAAAGCTTCACACTGGCAAAAGTCAGAGCTCAACGTCAGGTCCAGCCCAAAGGCCCATCCCTCATCCCTTGAACTCTGCCCTACTAGCCATCCTCCGAATCCTCCAAGCGAATCTGTTGCCCTGACGCCCAAGGTAGGTCTTGCTGCTGTATCCAGTTGTGACCTGCTGTGCCGCTGTCTCCAGGTTCGACAGGCGAGCAAAGAACTTGCCGTGGTGTCTGATGCCAACTCCTTCCGGCAGGGATTGCTGGGCCCTCCACCATTCCAGGGCTCTGAATCCATAGAGTCGAGAGGAGATAGGCGGCTGCTCTCTAAGGTTAGCTCTTTGTCGATGGCCCGCGAACCCCCACCACCGCGAGAGCCAAATCGTTGACCACCTTGAAGGCCCGAACGACACAGAACCGCCCTCCAAGCCCTAGTCGACCTTCGGCGAAATTCCACCCATGATTCAGAGCCCGCTTTGGCATGCCTCAACATCCAGCCCATGAGCATCGCCTGAGTAGAGGTAACCAGGCCAAGTGCATGCTTGTCCGGCGGGCAGCAGACAGGCACCACATCAGGCTATTCGTCACCACCTTGTCTATCAATTGGCTCTGCCTACGGGAAGCTCTCTGGCCAAAAACCGTGCGGCTGCATCGTGCCAGTTTGCATCGGCTGGCCTGGTTCGTGTTGAGCTTTTAAGGAAAACCTCTCCAGCAGCATGTTGCCAACGGTGCCACGGAAGCTCATTGCATGCCTGCGTCGATATGAAAGCAGTCCTCCGCAGACTACACTGCAGCTGAAGAAGCACGGCATGCTTACGGCTGTGTTGTCAGAGGTAGCGGTCGTGATGCTGATGATGGTGTGACGATGAGTCTGATGCTTGAAAGAACTAGTGCTCCGTCAGTGACAGTGGCGAAGTCGAAGTCAAAACAATGCAAGTGGCCCCTTGCAGCCCCAACGGTCTGCTGCCCATCAGCCGCCTATGAGCGTATGGCTGCAGCAATGTTGGTTGCTACTACTACCACTACTACTACTACTACTACTACTACTACTACTACTACTACTACTACTACTACTACTACTACTACTACTACTACTACCACTACTGCTACCACTACTACTACTACACTACTACTACTACTACTACACTACTATTACACTACTATTACACTACTACTACTACAGTACTACGACAGTACTACTACAGTACTACCACTACCACTACCACTATCTACCACTACTACCACTACCACTACGATGAGTAAGCTCGCAGCAGAAGAAACCCAACGATCATCCACTTAGTGCTGGCATTCTGGCACTCCGGAGTTGGATGGTGCTAAAATGCTTGAACTAGGACGCTGTATCGGGGGCAGGCAGACGTTCCGAAGCGGTGTCTAATGTCTTGCCGAGAGTCTGAAACTGCTCTCTTTGCAACCAACACGTGGATCACATTTGGCCCTATGTAGTCAAGCAGTTGTTCCTGACCCATTCCATTTCTTTTCTGATCTATCCGATCCATCATGCTCGGCTTCTCGTGCTTCGGTTACTTCGTGGTGGCCGTATCCATGCTTCCGAGCACAGGGGCGAGCCAGGCCAGCAATGCCCGCATGGCGGTTGGAGCCGGCGGTCAATCATCATTTGTGAGACGGGACGGAGAGGACCATGGCGAGACGCTTCAAGGGCTACGACACGACAGAATGATTTTGTTTCTTTTCGGTGGCTGTTGGAAGAACGAAGGCAGCACGCGAAAGAAACACATCGGTGCTATGAAGCTCAGCATGTGCCTATTGAAAGCCCAGTTCGGCGGTTATGAAGCTTGCGGCATGGAGTACCCTCAAGGACATGCTTCTGGTTGGGAAATGGCAGCTGCAATCGAAATCCGTCTCGCTCTTGCATGATCTTGCAACACTTGCAGGCTGTTTGAATGCAAAGGTCCATCACGGCATGACCGTCTTACGGCTTTCGTTTTTTGCAGTCTCGCAATCGCATTCAAGCAGCAGTGGGCATCGGCAACCCCTCAGGTGCAATCGGTTGTCCCATCAACTCAAGATAAACAGTATATGATTTTGAGCGATTCAGCCGGTGACCCTACAGATAATGTGAGCAGTTCCGGTCAAGAGAAAATCAATCCTGGAGGCGGGCTGTAATGGCCCCAACACTCTAGCAGAGCTATGTGCTTACATGCTCTCATTATTGTTATTATTATTATTGCTGTTATTATTTTTAATATCATTATTTTCATAAGTATTCGCATGAGTATTAGTATTAGTATTGCTACTATTATTATTATTGTTATTATTATTATTGTCATGGGTTTATTTGCTGTCCATATATACATGTACACAAGCGCATGTACACACACACATATATATATATATATGTATACATAGCTTATGTACATACACATACATACACTTAGGTGCGAAAGAAACGGCACTTCTAGTCACTCCGCGGTAGCCTCCTATTACCTCGCCTTCTTGTGGCTTTCTGGCTGGAGCAAAGGTGGATTCATTCCCAGAGGAGGGTTGGCGATCTTCACATCTGCCAATGAACGTGATCCATAAGTCGTTCTATGCAAGCATGTCCCGCGAATCTGGGCACGCACATTGAACATCCGTGCTGGCAGCAATCTGCCGCCATATCCTCATTCCTACACCCTGGTGTTAGGCAACCCGACTGAACAGAACCGCAGGACCCTGGCCAGAAGAATACACTTGAAACTCTGCGGACTAAGCGGCGCGCTAGTTTCGCCTCACCGTGCGAGTCACCGTCCCGATGTAACGGACGGTGACGACCTGGAGCACAGGTGCGTAGGCTGACATCACGACACTTCAGTCACATGGAGGGTCTTTCTCTGGGTGTGCGGGGCCCATGCTGCCCTTCCGTCAACTGTTCCGGTCCCTCGGTCTTCCTGAAAGTTCGCACGCGCACATCATTCCCATTTACATCAGCAGCCCGATGCATTGGAAGCAGCAGCGGCGCAACAATTAACAAGCTGATACACCTCGGAGTTGACGTCTAGACGGGAGTGACAGTAGTTCTGGTGGCAGCACCAGGCGGCGGCAGTGGTGGTTGTCGTGGGCGTCGCACAGGCAGCAGCAGTGTCAGAGGTAGTGGTAGCATGGGAAGTGGTTGCTGTAGAGGTGGTGGTGGTCGAAGTGGTTGTGGTAGTGGTGATGCTAGTCGTAGTAGTCCATGTCGATGTCGACGTCGTGGCAGTGGTAGTTGTAGCCGTCGTAGTGGTCGCAGTAGCAGTAGCTGTAGCAGTAGCAGAGGCAGTAGCAGTAGCAGTAGTAGCAGCAGCAGCAGCAGTAGTAGTAGTAGCAGTAGTAGTAGTAGTAATAGCAGTAGCAGTAGTAGTAGTAGTAGTAGCAGTAGC